AAATTCACCTTCAACGCGTCCCACGATGACTTCTTCAAGAGGATCCCATTCGTTGTATGAACAGACTGGGCTTTTCAGCTCCTCGGAGGGGAGTTTCTCGTCGCTCAAGTCATTGGAAAAGTCACTGGATGAGTAACTAGCTGACTGCACTCTGGCTAGTGTCTTTATTTTGCTTTTTACCAGTGTGGAACATGCTCGCAGCCACTACAACATATACAAGATGGTTAGCGATTGTAAAAGCTTGTAAGAGCAGCATTGACGATGGAGTCGTTCTCTTTGACCCTCAATAAAAATTTGAGAGGTTTCAAATTTGATGTCACCCGCGGCATGTGGGCTCACGAAATACATGAATGAATAAGTAATCAAAAAGCTCATGAAAAGGGAAAAGGAATGAAAATTTCTAACTTTTGCATTGAGCAAAGCTGGACAAATAGTGTTTTGTAACCTTCTGACATATTTTCTCTAAGTTCTTCTGAATCTTTTATAAGCTTACAATTGCAAATATGGCCAGACTTTGTGCTGTTTCTACATTGTTTTAGATTTCCATTCAAAACTAACTCTATCAGGAACAGAAAAACTAGATTTAGTCTTCATTAAAAGGAAACGATTGAAGTCGCCGATAAGTGAAAAAGCACGATGAATATTATCATCTAAGGAATGAAAGAGGCTTAACGGTGAGTCTGAAGCTAGGAACATAGTTTCCCAATTTTAAGTAAGGTCTCTGCATAAGTCAAATATTTGGAACAGAGGATTTTTTCCTAGAAAATCGACCAGCAAAATACCTACCACTCCAAATGTAACGGCTTCACGTCCACGGCAGCCACCTTTGACTATCTTTATGTTTAACATGTTGTTTTCAGTTAAATCTGAAACTGGAGAACAAACTTGTTGAAATTCATTACTCTAACGATAAGAAGTTTTAATTTTGTCTTCATTAGTTTAATAATTACCTTGTCATTCAGTTTTGATCCCCAAAGAAAAACAGCATGAAGAAAATCACAAACTTTTATCAACTATCGTCACAAACGTGGCGCTCCTTTTGAAGTGAGCTAACTCATCAGCTAACTCATAAACATAGGCTATGCATGCAAAAGTTATTTCTGTTGGATAGGTGGGCTTGGGTGGGACAGTTTGTGTAACTGATGTTTTCGTTTTCGTAAGAGGGAAAGAGCATAACTTTCAACTGAAAGAACGAAAATATCGTATTACTTTACCTTAACTTAAAGAGAATTAAAAAAAAAAGTAAACAGAAACTCTATATTGCGATCTCTGTACCTTCTTCGAATGAGTGACGATACACAAAAGGGAAAGGATCATATTTCAAAGAGGTCTCCTAGATTGGTTATTGCCTATCTGAACTTTGCTTTATGAGTGTGAAATATGTGATAAAATGCACGAGATGGGGCTAACTCCAAGCTGAAAGCGAATTTGATTTGTAGACAACGTCAAAACAAGGGAGAATTCCGTGGAAAATTCACTAACAGCAGCATTTAGTTCCATGTGAAACTTTGTTTGTTTGTTTACAAGGAAATGAGATTTGATGAAGCGAAGTCTAATATCGCAAAGTGGAATTGATTGGAGGAATACATACTAGCCTTCACGTTATGTAATAACCAGGCTTATTATTTTCTCAGTTCGTGAGCGGGTGGTAGGTATTCTACAAATCCTGCAATCTGATTGGTTCCGGGCAGTATTCTGAGTCATTTTGCAGAACATCTCACGCTTCTTTTCAGTTTTTCACAAATATATCTCATTTTGCCGGCTGGGCAGAGTTTTTGAGTAAAAAATTCGGTCACAACCTTTTGGCGATAAATATTAATTCCGAATCTTTCTTCTCTTTCGCTCTCGAATCTCTTTGGTTTTTCAGCAAAAATTGATTTCGAAATAAATTTTGTGGTATTAAATTTCTTTTTAAAAAGATTGAAACGAGGTGTAAAAGCAATCAAGGTAATTTGGTTATATCAACTGAGTTGATAATGTAAATTAGCCACTGTAAAGAGTTTCAAAGCTGACGTTTCGAGCGTTAGCCCTTCGCCAGAGCGAGTGGAAGAATTGTGGGTTGTGTGTGCGTTAATATGCGGAAAATGGAGCTACGCTATTGGGGGGAATATGGCATAGTTAGTAGAGGTGACCAGTCCCCTCTACTAACTATGAATATGGTGAAAAGAAAATCAAAAGAAAAATAGTTTAATGAAAGCGTCAGTTGATACCGTAGAGATTAAGAGAACCGATTTGAAAGATATATTTTTGCGCTAGAGTTTCTCGGCTTTCCGAACTTCCAAGACGTAAGGAAAGGATGCAGACTGCCATGTGCTGCTTAGAATAATTAGGGAGATTAAAATATCTAGCAACTGGTTTGGATACATTTTTGTCATTTCTTTCTACGTCGCGAAGCTGTTTTCGGAATCGGTCACCTAGTCGCCTTTCTGTCTCACCAATGTTTATCTTTTTGCAATAAGTGCAAGTTATGCAATAGGTGACATTGGCGGAGGTGTACGTGAAGTGATTAGTAAATTAGAATTAGAAAAAGCTTTATTATATGGCTGCGTCTCACAAGTGCTGGGAACTACCGAATTCACGGATTTGATTGGCTGAAATCAATATTGAAAGCAGTCTAGATTTTCCCATCTAGACCGGTCTAGAAAAAAAAGGTACAAAGAATATAAAAAATTGGCATATAAGACACAGCCACATAATAAACATCTTATTGACCGAAATCATATATGTGAAATGCCAGTCATATATGTGAACTAATATATGTCCAGCTTCCAACTTGTTCTCCATAATGTTTTTAATCACACTAAAATAAGAAGGAGAACATGTAAGGATATATAAAAATATGTTGTGGTTTCGACCAATTTCTAGCACAGCCGGCCAACATATCATGCTTATGTATTTTATGGATACGCTCTTTTCTTTTTCCTGTTTGTTGATTTTACTTTGGCGAGGCCCATTCGAGGATGCGAGGAACTTTAGTTTTGATAAGCAACAAATCCGAGTTAATGTGGGAAATGTCTTCGTCGGGAGGTGTAAGTTGCGACTCAAAGTTCCAAGCTTCGATAAAAATCGTACAAACACCTCTGCGAAGTTTGCTTGCTGTTACTTTAAATAAAGGGTTCATCTACCTCGGCGAGATATTTTAAGTGTGGGAAAGATTCAGTTGCCGCCATTCTTCCTGTCTTTTAGAAAATTCCGATTAGAAAAAAAAAACCATTCCTATCGTCCACATGTTTGGGGTTTCAAAATAATAACTAAATCTTTAGTGAGATTGCTTTGCAAGTTGGGAGAACATCGTTTCGATGTCATTTAAGAGAATGTATGGGAAGTAGTTCCCCTCCCCCATTACTGTTAACCGTCAAGGAAAGAAATTAACTGATCGACGTAAAATGACAATAATTTTAACCGTTAGCCGTAAAAGCCATCATCCTTCTGAAACCCTCCGTCATACTCACACTTCACTTCTCAATCTCCTGCTTCTTGGAACTATAACTTACTTGCTCATGACTATCGCCAACTACGAAAATGTAGGCAAGAGTCTAATGGAAAAAAACCGATGGTTCATCTGACGTCATTCTGGCTGATTATCGGTTTTGATATAAGATAAAGATCGCACCAGGCCTGAGAAACGTTGTCACGTGACAGATAATGTGTTGAAAGGTCGAGAAATCCTCAAGAAATTCGCATTAATTGAATTTTTCTGTGAAATTGTTGACTCTTTCGTGTTTGGTATCTGCTTAAAACCTATATTTTTCTCAAAAACTGCCCTGAAAAACATCAATTGCAAGAGGTTGCCAGAGCTGCAAAAGTCTGCTCCAAACCCCAAGAAGTTGCTCTCAAACGTTCCCGAGGGCAGTTGGGACAGGCTTAACAAACATGATAAACTTTATACGAGTAAAAACGCTTGAACGGAAAGAACCAATTTGGGACACAATTAGTGACGGGCTTGCGTCAAAAACAGTTGAGTCTCAAAACGAGTGCAAGTGTTTCATAAAATTATCCATCCAAGCTCCACAGAACAGATGAAAGCACCAAGCCGTAGGGCGGATTCTTCTCTTGTTTTCGAGCGCTTGGAAACCCAGTCTCGCCCCGGGAATAACGAAAATGGAAATATTCCAGAATTTTTCAAATATTGTCGGCAAATTTCTTGTTATCTGTTTGTGATAATAAAATGAAGAAATTCGCTCATTAGAGCTTTATGCGAATTTCTTGAGGATTTCTCGACCTTTCGAACACATTATCTGTCACGTGACAACGTTTCTCGGGCCTTAATTGCATTAAGAGCAGCCATCCCCAACTATCGCCTGAAGGTGTGCAAAATGAAAAACGAGAAAATCCCCAAACTTTGTTAGAATAGAGGTATGGATGAACTATTTCTAGAAAAAAATACTTTGAGTTCCACTGCATTTTTGAGTTTTTTTTTTTTTNTACGGATGGTTTCAATCGCCAACGTTTACATAAGATGGTTGTATTACTGTTCCCAAGGGTTGTTGTTTTCATCAGTACGTTAACAATAGTAGTGATTCACAGTATTAGGTTTGTACTTTAAATAAATATATTTAAGTTCACTCGAAAGATGAGTATAAACTGTAACAAGCTTATCGTTGATGCGCGGCCAGTACTTCAAATCTGACTGACACTCGATGCCAAAACTCAACCTCGTTCCCTGGATATGCCACCACATTACTTTACGCCAATTAAAAACTGCACGCTATTGTGAATTTTCTTGCACAGGAAAAACCAAACAGAATGTCTGATTCTGGCCCTTAATGGTCAGAATAATAACTAGGACTTTGTCTCTGACGAAGGAACGGCAATAAGCACAATTTTAACCTACGAGCAGGTTGTTGTTTAGTCTCGTCATGCAATGTTGGAGAGAGGGATAGCGTTGCGTGACAAGTTCAAATTAGGGCTGTGGAGGGGACTGCAGGAAGCGTTGTACCAATGCAGTTTATTTTTGTCAACAATTATTCGACACCAACATCAGTTATATAGTGTCCCATTTCAACCTACGTATCCAAAAAAATAACTCCTGCATGCGTAGCATGCCTATGTTTATTTTACGCGAAAGGCGGCAAAATCGGTTTGGTGGCTCTTCTGTCAGCTTCACGAGGTCCAGACAACCATTATTTGAACGTCGCTTGAAAAACGTCGTTTTGCCGAACGTTATTTAGGCTGATTATCGGTTTTGAAAAGAGATAAAGATCGCACTAGGCCAGAGAAACGTTGTCACGTGACAGATAATGTGTTCGAAAGATCGAGAAATGTTCAAGAAGTTCGCATTAATTGAAGTTTTCTGTGAAATTGTTGACTCTTTCGTGCTTGGTATCTGCTTAAGAGCCCACTGACCGTAACTATCGAGAATCCGCCGACAGTTGCAAATTTCTCAATTCGTTTTATTTTTCCTAAAGGACCCTTTTAGTGAACCTTTTTCGAAAATTATATCAAAAAGTTCTATGGCGCTTGTTTTTATCCGAAAAATCGAAGTGTGCAAGATACGCCTGAATGGATGTTGCCCCCCCCCCGCCCCCCTTGTAAACAAATGAAAAATTATGCAACTTCGGTGACTTCGTACGCAATAGCGCGATGCAAATCCCGCTTTTAAATTTTGTGTGCTAGCAGATGGTCCTTTTATCTCCCAGAAAATATTAAATTCTTGCTTTGTTGTTGCGTTTAATGCTTTACAAACCAAAGAGGAGGGTCTGGATGGGGGTGTACAGATGTTAGTTGTTAGTTAAAATTTCGGCCATTTATCAGTTGTCAGTTAAAGTTTTGGCCATTTGTTAGTTGTCAGTTAAATGACTGTTAATAATTAACTCGGCATGTTAATTATTACTTCCGCCCCTATATTTTTGGATGAAAAGTCACACAAGG